ATAATTAACTCATATTTACCAAAATTCCTATTTCTCACTTATCGCCCTCCATAGACTGATCATTAGCAGTTGAAATCAAATAAAAGACCCGCTGAACAACGGCTGACTTCTAAAATGAAATTGTAGTTGTCCATTCTTAATTCGACTGGTGTCTGAAAATGAGTTATATTTTGTCGGATTCCACTGCTAGCAACCAAATTATGCCCACCACCTTCATTCAAAACATCTGTTCTCGAATGCGGCAGTTTCCAACGCAATGCATAATTTCCCAACCTTACCGCCATCTTTGAACCGAATGTCTAGATAATGTGGGACCCTCAACGTCTCAGAACCCTGTGGGCCTTCACGGCCTGTTACAGGGATGGCTTTACTTTTTTACTTTATACATAATTTCCCAAACGACATCGAAACAAATCGAAAAACAATCTCCGACTAAAATTCCAAAAGGCCACGCCATAGCTCAAGCGGTTAGTCGCTGGCTTCTCACCGCGGCGGCCCGTGTTCGATCCCGGGTCTGATCAAGTGGGATTTGTGGTGGAAAAAATGGCGCTGGGGCAGGTTTTCTCAGAGTACTTTGGTTTCCCCTGCCAATCTTCATTCCAGCATTGCTCCACAAACACCCTCACCTATCTTCTGGGGCTGGTACAATGGGCCAGAAGTGGCCGCAGTACAAGGGACTTAGTCCCACCCCACTAGCAATAAAAAAATTCCAAAAAGTCTGTTCGTCGTCGACTGTTTTCGTTCTGCATTACTGTGCGCTGGGTCTCCAACAATATGAAACTTCTTGAAATATTCAAGTAATATCCTTGACATGTCAATTGTTTCGTGGCGCTCAATTCGCCCTAAGGAACGTGGTCTGAAATATCTCCCGGATCTTAATCGAATTAATTTTATCACTAAACAATTCAGAAAGCAAATTTTAGAAGACATTTTTTCGAAGTTCGTTTCGGGTAGGAAGTAGGGTGCCGTATGTCTGTGACAGAAAGTAAAAAGGAAGGACGAGACATTACTTGCAGAGCTGCCAAATGTTTGGAGACTGCTGGTACAGAGTTGGAAAGGGCTGTCACGAAGAATCCGGGGAAAATCTACAAAAATTGCAGTAGGATAACAGGTCTCCCGGCCTAGCCCCGAATATCATGCATGAGTGCTGACAACTATATCACGATATCTGATGTTATCTACGTAAGTTCGGGGAGGCGAGGAGAATAAGCCATGTCAATTTTTAAATTCAACACTAGATTGGTATATAGGTGAGTTACACGTTCCAGCTGTCCTTACCTCCACTGAATGCGAGGGTAGATGGACCGTAACGGCGGTTTGGATCTGATAGCGCCGAGAAATTACCCAGTGCACCTACCGAACATAAGGCCCAGATCATCAAGTCGCAATCCGAAACTGACTGAACTGTCACCTCATTATATGAAACACGCCACAGCGCATTTCCTGTCTCTATTCAACAAGTAATGCTTACAAAATCCTCTTGGTACTTTCATTCATTTAATTAATTGTTTTAGTGTGAAAATTCTTAGCGTCCTTACAAAACATTGCTTAGTACGTAACCTACAACAGAGATGTCGTCGGACAGCTTTCTCTGCGGAACTAGTCTCCTTGCAGCCTGCTGTTGCCCTTGGAAACCAAGATCATTGTCACAGCCTTCTTAACAAAGTAAGGGACTCGCTAAGCAGACCGGAAATGCGAGCACCCGAGCGTTACCACATGCAACGCAATGGAGGGCCTCAGGTCGCCAGCACCAATTAAACATATACCAAAAGCAGTTGCTTTTGTACTTCATGGTTTTCAAGGAAATAAAAGAAGAACGGGAAAGGATACAGAATCATAATCTTTATAACTTATCTTCATTTAGTTCTGTTAGAGGAACTTAATCGTAATGAATGAGAAGGCCAGGATATGGACCCATATAACAGGAGGAATGCAATATTCTGGTTGAAAAAGATCAAGATAGAAGACTACTCGTTTGGCCTAGGCGGAGATGGGGGCGAAAATAATGTTTTAAAGGAGTAGTTTGTGTTGATGTGAAATAATTATAGGCTTTATGACAAGCTTAAGTGAATACTATCTGGGTCCTTAACAACAGAGAACTTTTTGCCGAGCTGATTGAACATGTGTAAGTCTTCGATTTATGGAAATTAACATTTTTCTATATGAGTTACTCATAGACATCGTCGAGTAACAAGTGAGCGATAAACAGAAAATGATATGGAAGTATGAGTAGTCAATTTTAATGAATTATTTACCGGGGGAATATAAAGACTCTATTCCAAAATAAACATCAAGACTGGAGTCGCGGTCCAGACCCGAATCGGAAATCTTCAGAATACGAGGAAAGGCTGCTGACCATTGGACTGCTCCCTTCGGTCTATAGGTTCAGGATCGCATTGACACCAGGGACATTCTTAATGCTATTGACGAGTTCACGGCTCTGCGCTTCACCGTGACCGGTCCATTGCCGGCCGCTAAGCGCTTGCGAATTTTGCCGATGACTCAACATGCTTGACAGCCGATAACGTTTGGAATGAAGTAAAATAATTAACTAGTAGACCTCTACACAGTACTATGTTATAAGGCGAGCAGTGAAATGCATGCATGTGTAGTCTGTTTATGATTTGTCAGCAGTAGGCAGTAGATATCAACACCATGAGCCATTTGTTCCCAGTTAACAGTTAGTCAGCAGCGTGGCACGACATTATTTGCGATACTTTAGAGAAACGTGTATTTCTTTGTGACACCTACGTGAAATACAGATCTGCTAGAAAGTGTCAGAAAAAATTTCAAAGGAAATTTCATGCTCAAAAAGTTACCAGCAGACAAAGCGGCCTCCGTAGTCTAGGGGTAACGTTCCCACCTCATGACTTTAAGCCGTGGGTCCCGTGTCGTAGCTTTACGGCACGTAAAAGAACCTCATGTCTCAAGGAGGCCTCTGAGCCAAATTCATAAGGACATTTCCCGCCGAACAATAGTCTCTAACGCCTCTGGTAGATGGGGGAAGCATCTAGATACCGCTGAGCCAGTAGAGGCCGAACTCGCTGGCTGAGTCGGGACTGATGGCACGCACCAGTATCGGTAGGGTATAGAGACTGGTAGAATACCACAGGGGGACGTACAATAGACCACTGGTCGCGGTGCATGGTGAAACCCACCCCCTCCAATAATAATAATAATAATATCAGCAGACAAATATTCACAATTTGGCGAATAATCTTAGAACAATGCGACTCTTAACAGATAAGAAACAAAAACATAAGCACCGAGTGCTTACTGAGGAAAAGTAATATCACATAGGAGCCAGACTGAACGTACACCTATAAATTCACTGAAATGTGTAGCTCAAGAGACTGGGGGGTCAAAAGTCTAGCGCAAGAAGAGCAACACAACTGCTGAAGCCATCCGGTCATTGATTATTATTTGTATAAACTGGAGTTCGACATAGAGTAAACCCTCGCTAATCCAGTTACAGTTAATCCGGATCGAAAAATGAAAAGTAAAAAAATGTACATACATTTGGGAAGGCAGATAAGTCACTTGTCTGTTCAGAGAAAACTTGACAGTTTCTTCGAACCTGCGCTATTAGGTTGAAAAACAAGCACAGTATCTTAGTCTTCTATCGAGGAATAAATATATTGTCTTTTTATAGTTTTTAAATAAAGGCTCTATGGCGATTTCTTTTGTTTCATCATCACTGCATATATCATTAAATTTTCCATTTCTTTGTGCTCTAAGTTTTTTCTTTCTTTCTTTCTTTCTTTCTTTAAGTGCTACCTTTGCCGGTCATGCTAGCTAAGCGGTCTAAGGCATGTACTGTCTTCGCTCGCTTGGAAACTGGAATCGTGGATTCGAATCCCACTCAGGGCATGGATGTTTAGTTTGTGTGTGTGTGTTTTTCTGTGTTTGTGTACAGGTAGAGGCCTTGCGACGAGCTATCGCCCGCTCAAGGAGTCCTACCGAATGTGTAAGATCTAGAAAAACCAAAGTGAACTGAGAAGTTCATTGAGGTACGCCTAGGCCCATTGGGGCTGTAGTGCCAAGGGGGAAAAAAAGTGCTACCTTTTGCTTCATTAATCCGGATTAACGAGGTTTTACTGTATTCTATACTTTCACAGCCAAGACTTGTCCCTCTTGATTTCGGTATTGACGTTTATGCATTATGGACGCTATGGCTACATCGCCATGAGTACAATTAGCTGACTAATTGCATGGCATACAATTTACCTCGAGAAGTTTACATTCTCGTAGTTTAGAAATTCCATGGCCTTATAAACCCCGATAGTTCATTATCAAGTTACCTGTGAAGTAAAGAAAACTTCAAACGTCATTCCATGCTTCTCGTAAACAATGAAAAAAACTAGCGGTTCCTTTCACAAGAGAACTCCAGGCTTTATATCATCTCAGTCTTTCTCGAAACACCAAAGGGAATCAAATCCAACATCCCATGAATTATTCGTCTGCTTCCAAACGGTGCAGTTAATATTTCTTATAACGTCACTCCATTCATTCTAGTGATTTTACAATTTAACATTCTATACGTTTTAACAAGCCACGGGGAGCCACTGGGAAAAATTAAACTTATGACATGGAATAGATGCAGAGCCTGACCGGGAAGGGGCCGCCATTCCGACATCGCCCAACTACCAAACACAAATTTACAGAACTCTAATAATAACAAAAAGTGGACATGTGATTGTTTTATACAAGACAAAATGTAGGTACCCGTAAAATACAGTTTTGTTTCAGGCATCTGTTAACTTCTCATTAGTGTCAGAATAAAAAGATGTGAATTTCTTCAGTATATTGAAATAGTCGTATAATTATCACGACAGCAATTCCCACATATTTTAAAGAAATAGAATAAACATTTTAAGTATTATGAAAATACTGATTTTTAAGTTGCGGGTAACATAGCCGAAGGAGGCAGAACACATCGGCAAACAACAATAACAGTAAGCAACTGCAAAAATAACCAAAGAATATCACTTAATACTCACCAATGACGCTAACTTAATCACTTAATGGTCGTCTTCAGCTGTCACTGATACGTGTATCCTCAACAATGAAAGATACTGGTATACAAAACGGGGAGGGAAGGGCGGGTTGCTGTTCTCGACTGCAGGCACACACAACCTAACTCTACCTCTGCTCAACACGAACTGACCGCTCTCTCTCCAAGAACTGTTTACTAGACCCTTTGTGACAGCCCATTACGCGCTCTCTGGTTTCAGCTCCCAACCACGCGTCCTGTTACCCTATTCATCCACCAATCACCTTAGTCGTTACAATGCTGACCGCGCGAAACGCACTGAAACATAAGTGAAACGCCATTACCTTGCTTTTATGAACGATGATATATTCCGATTCTGTATGAACAAATAGGCCACTAATCGGCCTTTCCTTTCTGAGTTGCACTGTCAGAGACGAGTATGTGTGGAACCGCATTGCTTCTACAGCCTTCAATTCGAAATTGATCACAGTTTTCTTAAACGACTCTGGTCTCAATCTAACATTTTAGGACCAAACGTCGCTGTTGAGTGCTTAACAGTCCTGCCTCATATTCGGGACTCCTTGGTTCAGACCTTGCCCACAGACCAGCAGCCCCGGCTGAAGATTTTGTGTTTTAGTCACTCCCTCTGAAATAACACCATGACCAATTCATCCCCCCCTTTCTCTTTCAAATTAATTATTCACTAATCATTCTATCATTCAGTGTTATACAATCTGAACTACTGAGAGAGTTGTCAAATAAGGCATTAATAAAATAATGTTTTAGGCTGGTGACGTCCTTTTGTCTCCTAGTGTTACAGACAATAACGAATTTTGTGACACTCTGTAGGAACTTCATGACATTGCATGGATTTCCTCCATTTTGACATCAACAGCATCGACAAGGCGGCCTTTATAAGCGGGGACCAATGTTCTACAAAAATGTAAAATTGCAAACTGATAGCTACACAAAATATATTGGTGTCATAACTGATGGATGCCGATCATACTCTCCGCACGGTCTAAGAGGGTCCATACATGTACGAGTCTGGCTCGCGAGTCCGACTCGGCTCGGGTTCCAATGAGCCAAAATCGTCCGTGTGGGTCGCCACGCTCATACATGTGTGGTGAAATTAATACGAGCCCGGCTTCTCGCCGAGCCGGACTCGAGAGCCAGACTCGTACCTGTATGGGCCGCCTAAGACATGGAACCTCCTTCGCTTGCTCGAACACCGTGATCGTGGGTTCGAATCCCACTGTGTGTATTTATTCTGTGTTTGTTTTGTTCTGTGTGCAGGTAGCGGCCTTTCGATGGGCTGATCCCCCGTCCAAAGAGTCCCACCGACTGTGTATAAGATTAAGAAAATGAAAAAGCGGCCAAGGTCAAACAAAGGGCTGTAGAACCATAGAGAAAGAATGAGAAAGAGTGAAATAACAAATGAATGTAATGGAACCTGTACGATGTTATGTTACCTATAAATTCGAATGAATGGTGTTCAATATTTCTGAACTGCGCCACATCATCGGCGAGTGTTCCTAATATGTAATCTTTATTTCTGCTGTAATTAGTATTTGTGATGATATTTTTATGTAAAATAATTAATGTAAGTGCGTCGAAATTCGCCATGTCATACAACTTCGCCACCTGCAGCCTTGACCACATTCTGCAGCTGTGTCATGTTAAATGCAACAGGAGAACTGTGTTTACTACAACTTCTGTTGTAAAAAGTTGTGCACGTTGACAAAACAGTCACCTTCTGAAGCATCTCAAACACGGATCCTATTTTTCTCTAGTAGATATCCTTCAATTTGGTGTGTGCGTTTTTCTGTGTTTGTGTACAGGTAGAGGCCTTGCAACGAGCTGATCACTCGCCGAAGGAGTCCTACCGAATGTCTAAGATCTAGAAAAACCGAAGTGAATGGAGAAGTTCATGGAGGTAGGCCTAGGCCCACTGGGGCTGTAGTGCCAAGGAAAAAAAATATCCTTCGATAATATTTTCAATGTGTTATATTACCAGTGAAATATTCATTTTCTGTACTGTTCTGTCTTCTGATATAAATCGCCTTGTACGTAATGTTCAACTCTGAAGATGGAGGCAATATGTTTCTGCGATACGTCAGTGGATTATCAACAAACTACATCTTCCCCCACGTCTTCATGGCGTAATGCTTAATTATTTAAGCACAGAGACAAATTTACCTTTTCACTTTTACTTCATGATGCTGTAACTCTTTTTCATGGGTCTTCCTTGGTTATTTCATCTTTTGATTGCACTTGTTGAATACAACATTTCGTCACCTATTTGTCTGAGATCATAACAAAAAGTTGAAGCTATCCCTGTAATAAGCCCTAGAGTCCCATAGGGGTGTCACATGTCGAGACTCCCATATTTTTTAGAAAATCGACACACATATGGCGGTTAGCTTATCAGACTTACACGCTGACCGCCCTTTACCCCTCAGAAAAAATTTCTAGTACTCATATCACTTAGGCCCCCCATACACACACAGTTTGGCCTTCCGATCGACCTTACAGGCAAAACTGTGACAGTTTACCCCTTCCTTTTCCTTCCCCATACACGCGCAGATAAACCGGCAGGCTTCATGCCACAGTCACGGTCTTCCAGCCTATAATGTTGAGTCACACACGTCACGTGCTACGGTCCTGCAGGCAGAACTGACTGACTGACTGACGGGTTTCCCACAGGCTAACAGTCCAAACGATTGGCCGGCCGGCTGCACCACACACATCAGTTTTGCCTTTCAGTCTTAAACTGTGTAGGCCGAACTGGAGGCAAACTGTGTGTGTATGGGGGCCCTTAGAAGATGAGTCGACCCCAGGGCAATAGTGCAGGTAGGAGGATTAGGTCAATTGAAAAATCCAATGACCTAAACTCGAAACGAACCGGCAACCTTCCGACTTGTAGCATAATGCCTCATCCATCTACATTACCGCGTGTCCCTTGTCTGAGATGGAGAATTTTAAATTTCTGAGGAAGCTTAAACTTCGTTCGCACCTATATGACACAGTTTTATTTCACTTATTTATGTTATTTTGGTCAGATCATGGCTGCACGGAGAAAATAAAATAGGAGCTCTATCCATGATCCATCAACGAAAATTTGGCATTCTGCGGGATTTATTAATATTTGGAACTAATATTTTAAGAAGACTTCCATTCCAGTTTTCACGTTCTTATTTGTATTTTTATAAAACCACGCTCCAAAGCACCGGGGTTGACCTTCTCTTTGTTCCTTTACTTTAGGGGGTAGAGACTCAGTGTCTGAACCTCCATGTTCCGTTCTTAATATCTTTATATTTAATCTGCAAGATATATATATATATAAACATTGTTTCCTTCAAAAACATGTTAAAAGTGCCTTCAAAAACATGTTAAAAGTTTCTTCAAAATCGTAGAACATTAAGTATAATTGGAACTTAACTGCCTACTGGGCCCAATCATTGCTGTTAATATACATTTGCACCCTTTACACATTGGTAAATATCAGTTTATTATCGGCTTGTTTGGAGGAACTGATTGGAATACGCGAAATGCCACGAACCCCTATTTGGAATTAAATGATTTTCCACCAGTTGTTCTGCTGTGAATATAAGGGACTCTCCCACACAATTAACTCTACAATGTGCTTAAGAAGTGTAACGAACCAAGATAGACCCAGTTGTCCAGTAACTTGTTACTAATGATCTCAAGTCGTACACGACATCGGTTTACAGTCCGTGGTCCACGAAAGATCGGGTTCTTGTCAGTCATTTTAACAGATTCGAAATTGTTTTGGGAATAAGAATGTAACTGGAGAGAGGGTGCAGCTGTGGCGCACTCCAGCGGTAACTTTAATGTATTCAGTGAGCTTTCCTTCATGAAAATCCTGGCACATAAATCCCTCATATATGTTCCCTGTACGACTCAAAATATTTGCCGGAATGCCACAAATTTCAAGGGCGCTAAACATAAACCTTCTACTGAGTGAATCAAACGTCTTTTCAAAGTCTATAAATGTCAAGTACAAGGTGGTTTGCAATTCCCCATTTTATTCAAGGATTATTCTCAAAGTGTTAATGAGGTCTACACCAATGCAGTCTGCTCCTTACGGAGACGTAAGTCTGCAGCATCTTCACTCTACTCAGAACTATCCTTAGGGGCACCTTGCTTGCTACACTTAGAAGAGTGATACATTGCCAGATGATAGGATCCCTTTTCTGTGGGAATTTTACTACCAAAACTTTCTTCCAATCCGGTGGGGCTTTCATTCCATATCTTCTGAACATGGGTTATAGAAATCATCGGTAATGTTAATGTCTACTTTGAGAACTTCATGGGTGATGTTATCTATTCCCGGTGCCATCCTACATTTGATTTTTTTTATCGCTTAGTGGGGGGTGGAGTCCAACTGGGTCCACTTAGGCATGGCGGCCACTGATTGGCCTATTGTAGTCTGCCCCTGGTGATTATGATGATGGAGAATGTGGTGAAATTAAGATTGGCAGGGGAAACCGAAGTACTCGGGGAAAATCCGCCCCAGCGCCACTTTCTCCACCAGAAATTCCACTTGATCAGACCCGGGATCGAACCCGGGCCGCCGCGGTGGGAAGCCAGCGAGTAACCGCTTGAGCTATGGCGCGGCCCAAGCAGGATGATACTCTGTTAGGGGTTTCTCCCCTAGCCTTTGAAGCACCCACTTCACCGCAAGGCAGCGGTTTTCCCCTTTGTTTACCTCAAGGCAGAATGGGCTGCTTCCTCCTCGAGCTGCTCTGTTCCACAGGTCTCCTCTTCCGCCGCGGATGCTGTTGACGACTCGCTGTGACCCCGGTAAGTGACCGTACCAGCCGGGGCCATATGAACGGTGTTACTCGTTTCCCCTCCTCCTTCCTCGACGGGTTTGGGACCGGAAATGGTGGAGTTATTATTATTATTATTATTATTATTATTATATAACATATATATTAGTGAATTCATATTTACGGGCTATCTGGAGATATTTCCTAATACTAATCACGAAAATTATTACTCAATCCTTCTCTTCGGGATGGGAATTCAAATGCAATTGGGTTCAAACGGCTGGCGTATGTGATGCGTTTCATGCGCTAAGTTGTGCCCGTGGAACTTACTGGAAGTACTGGAGGTCAAAAAGACAGAAACAGCAATTAACTAGGAGCCAATTATACATTTTT